ATTAAGTTGGTATAGATAATTACTCTCTTGTGCTGCAGCCTCAGAAGGAACCTCGCCTGCCAAATCAGAAATAACAGTAGCTGCTGAGAGGCAGTGTCTGCCTTCCATGTAGCGGCCCTAGAAAACACAAAAGCACAGATAACTACACACCCATTTCTCATCACTTCATCTAAAACAAACTACTGTGACAGGCATGGCAATTAAACCAGACATTAAAAATATGCTTCTGTACATCTGAACCATAAGAAAATACATAAGAGCTGGAGAACATTTAAAAAAAAAAAAAAAAAAAAAGCAAGGTAAAGGTTTATTCTCTTTGAACAGAATAAACCTTTCAAGATTTATTTCTTTTAAGGCTTAATCTTGGATATTTCTATAGTAGCAAACAACTACAAAATATGAAGACTGACTCATCTTTATTCAAATAGAAAGTGAAGCTATTGAAATGAGGAATGTCGTTTGGTGTCCGGGGTGGAGGTAGGCAGCATTAACCTGGTGTGTTTTATGTCTGCAGGAGAAATCGGAGCTCCTTGAAAAAGCACCAGGAGATAATGGAAACACCACACGGAGACTTGCTCGCTGTGTGGACGCAATATGAACCAGCGAGCCACTAATGCTGCTTAATTTTACCATGCTGTGTAAAGAGTGGAGAATAGATAAGAGGATAGCTTATCAAGTCAATATTTTTGGCTAACTGGGCCCTGTATAACGAAGTATTTCAACATATTCAGGGTATTTTTCTGTTATCTGAATTTACTTTCCAGGCGATAAGGATAAGAGCTAAAAAACAAGGCTAGTTATCAACCCACAAAATGAATGCAGTGTCTCCTGCATTTGGTTTTCTAACCAACGAACTAATCTAAAAGGGACATTTCACAGGTCACATGACTTTTGTTCCACAAAAGTCCCTATGACTGCTGCTTACTCCGGAGATGTTATCAAATGGTGATTAAGAAGCTATAAAGAACAAATAAAATCTAAAAACTGTGGCAGTAAAATCCAACACTTTTGCAAAAACAACAAAAGATGAATGTTGCAGCAATTTGTTAACAGTTAATCGTTAGCGCACAGAGCAGTAAAATAATCATTTTGTTTTTTAGTTGCCAAGTGGCTTCATAGTGCTGTTTATTTCTTAGGTGACAGCTGCACATTATAGCTCGGAAACTTAAAGTTTACTGACCTATAGCCTAATTAAGCCGATGTGCTTAGTTTTTTCGGCAGATCAAATAGGTACTCTGCAATTCAGTCCGTGTAAAAGAGACTTAGCAGCAGATTAGAATCAAGTATAACAACATTTATACATTTTCTAAATCAATAAATTAACATATGCATATTTCTGTGAGACGCAGTTTGAACTTTCAGTGGTCCTAGTAAGGGATAGCTTAAACTGGACATTATTCTCTCAGCTGCAGACTCAATACTGTTTAAGGGTTTGAGAATAAAGACTAAATATAAAAACAGAAATGAAACATAGACTTGATATGATGTCACCAAGGGCAGTGTAGGGGTGCTGCTTTAGGATCAGACAGTAATGCTTACACAACAATGCAACAGTTTTAAAACTGTTCCCCGTCAAAAGAAAATAATACATACAGTAAATCTGCATGTAAGAATCTATATTTATTACTGAATCAGAAACACAATGACTTTGGATGGTGATGAAAAACTTTAGACCAAACCTACTCTGCCTGCAGAGATCCAAGGAATTTTAGGAATTGTGACGCTATGTTCTGGAGAACTGACTGATCAGTAGACGATGATTTTAGAGCTGTTGATCTCTAATGTGGAACTTAGCCTGCTCCAGACGACGTTACAGTATAAGCTAGCATGACAAGTTACTCCGGTAAGAAGTGAAACACCTTTGTAGTGCAGAAAACTCAGGGTTAGTGCTGAAATTAGCTGGATAAGACACAATCTTTCTTCTTACTACAAGCTTCTGGTCTGGCTGTGTGTGTACGCTATAGTATGTGAGTTCCTGTTAGCCTTCCACAGAACTCTTAAGAGACAAGCGTGACTTCCCACCCTGCACTTTATAAACACGATGGCGGCGTCCAAACCAGGACGCTAAAAAATTTGATTTTCATCTACACCATTTATAAATGAATAAATTAAGATGTCCTGCACGTGTCCAAAGCATCTCAATCTTGCCTCTCTAACTCAAACCTATATTATATTAATTTCTAATCATGTCCATACTGCTGATGAAAATCTGAGCATCTTCCACTCGACACTGCCATCAGCTCCAAACACAGCAGGTCTCACTACCATCTTGTTAAACCTCCCTTTTTACTCGTTGCCATCATCTGTGACATTCTAAGTAACTCTTATGTGACATCTAGTGGTTGTGAATACTGCATGCAGCACTTTTAAAAGAAAAAGCATTTTATATAACATGCAGAATATCTTAGGTTGCAGATCAAATGTCTATAAACAACTTTAAACTGGCTATATGCTTACCTTAGTGATGTAATACTGGGATAGTGTAGCAGCATTTAGAGCCCACTCCATTGGAGTAAACTGATTTAACTGTAGCTGTCTCTGCAGGGTTGTGTGGCAGTAGGTAGCGGCACGCTCAGTTTGACCTGAGGGACAAAACTATAGTTACTATAGTTATTACAAGTAATTTACATAGCAAATTATGGGTCAGATGCATTTTCTTGTTGTTTCATCAGTGTAATTTTTTGTGTGTGTGTATTATCCTTAAACAATCTCATACTCACCCAGGTTTTTATAAACTTGAGCAAGGTAGTACATGGTATGGGTGTAGGCCAACTCAAACCTATACACAAGGAAAGCAGAGAGAGACAAAGGGACTAAATAAAAGCAAGGAAATAGCAATAACCTGGAAATCTGCTGTGGAAGTTACCTCTTAATCCTTTCCTGGTGAGTCAGCAGGCTCTCCTCAGCAGCAAAGTACTCTGTCATGTCAGTGGGAGGACTACCATCCTGAAAAAAAGAAGGAATTAAATGATGAAGAGGATTTACCTATTGTGATTGCAGCCATACTGTGGGGGCAGCATTACCTTCCTGAAAACTAATATTTCATTCAGTCCTCATTTTTTCAAAAATAAACTTTTATTCAGGAAATCAGCCTTGCCTCCTTCATGTAACGTTGATAGATGGATTCTGCAGTTTCGAGGAAGCCCTGTGCAGTCTCTGTCTCATCCCGGCCTGCCCAGAGGATACCCAGCTGGTTCTGAAAACACAAGGAGACAAGACATGAGCATCAAATGATCATGCATCGTCTGATGCTCCTACTATAGCGGTGTGACTCAGTGCTTTATAACGCTTCACAAACACTCTGATGGAGTGTTTTCAAAAATCATCCATAGCATTATAATCACATGTCACAGGGTTAATACATATTCTTATCAGTGATCATACCCTAACTTCTGTATGTAGTGTCATTTTTATTTATTTATGCGTTTTAAATAGCAGCTTTGTATTATTGTAAGAAAGAAACGATCAACGTTACCCTAACGTGGATAAACAGGGACACATTCGAGGACGACACTCTGCATCTCTCCAGCAGCTTCATGCAGTTCATTAGGTGCTCCTGCCCGGCTGGAAGCTCCTCCGTGTCCACATGGTTGACGCCCAGGTAGTATTCCACAGCTCCGAGTTTTGCGGCCCGCAACCCGGCTGGTGAATCACCGCTGAAGCCCTGGCCGAACAGGTCCTCTCTCTGCCCGTCCACCGGCTGCTCTGTCGGCCGTTGGTCGCCGCTCTCTCCGCCGCCCTCCTCTTCACCTTCGCCCGCTTCAAAATTCTTCAGCGAGCAGTATATTTCTCTGAGAAGCTCCCTGGCTTTGTATTTAGAGCGGAAGGGGTCATTTTCTGGGTCGTTTCGTGACTCTATTTCTGTGAGATTTTGGGCGTTCGTGAATTTGTCGCAGATAGCTCTCCATTCGTTGCTGTTGAAGGACGCCATGTTGGTCCTCTTCGGCGTTCTGGCGCAGCTGCGTGCTTCTTGTTGCGTTGCTGCCATCTACCGGAGGTTGCTCTCTCTGGCCATGTGAGTTTCCTTCCTTTGAGTTGTTCCGGTTTTACTCCATTAAAAGCATTGCTTGCCTACATTTCGGAGTTCTATTGCAGCTTTAGATTTTAATTACAGTTATGGTCAAATCAAAAGGTCACTTCACTTTAATCATTTTAAAAGAAACATGGATTTTGCTGTCACATTAGCACATTCACATGAGGTGAAACACAACTTTGCACTCCTGTTTATGGCCAACAAGAATAACACACATCAAGCATAATACATACAAAAGATCAATAAACAATAAACGGGCTCGAAGTGTTAATGCTGTCTTATTTTAATAAACAGCACTGTCATATGCAAAACTAGGATGGCAAGGGATCATTTTAGGGTGGCACATGCCACCAGTCTAGATCCGTTCCTGATGTAGGACTGCTTTCACCTATTTATGCAGGCGGTTTCTTAATGTTAAAAGGAAAGGTTTCCTTCCCATTGTCAACAAGTGCTTGCTCATAATGGTTCATTTGATTGCTGAGATTTTCTCCACATTATTGTAGAGTCTTTATCATATAATATAAATTGCCTTGAGGGGTATGTTTTAATTTGGTACCAATAAAAATGGAACTAAAAGATCAGAGTGCCTCTTCAACCACTGGTTATTATAGTGCAAACAAGCTATTTGTTCAGCATTAAATATGGACAAAATGTTATTGCTTAATATAGTATATATCAACTGTTTTCACTGAAAGCCCTGGGTGTACATGTGAACAAAAAGTCATAAAGAATTCACGTAGTTATTCTGATTTGTACTTTCTATCTTTGCGGGAAAAAAAGTGTCTTCTGTTTATTCAACAGTGGCAATGCTGAGTGTAAATACAGAGAGGTGACTTCTTGACTTTTCCATAGCAGAAATATCTGATGCAATTAAATGTCACTGGATCACCAAGAGTGACAGAGGACATGACTGAGACAAACAAAAAGTTCAAAGTCAAAGTAAAACAAATAAAACTCAGAAAATAAATCAATTTTGTCATAGTCAGTTTATTTTAACAAACTTATAGAATCCAAATATTAATCAGGGAAAATAATGTGAATTATTCAGTGACAATAAATTAATGGGAATGACACATAAAAACACACAGTGCATGTTTGAAAAGCACCAGCAGAAGCAGCAGCTCCTCTTGTCTGGTCATGCCAGATGATAACCTAGCCAGTCTGAGTTTGTACCATGAATATACTGCTTTATAACGTGGACAGTTTCACCACATGAAAAGATGTAACTATTTTGTTTTAAACATATCTATGAAGCGCCTTGAGGCGACTTATGTTGTGATTTGGCGCTATATAAATAAAATTGAATTGAAACATTTGTTTGAATGTATTTTGACAGTTGTGGGAAGCTAGTTTGACAAGTTTCCCACAGATATACTCATATATACAATTTACAGAATAACTTCCAACTCAAAAGACAAACAGCTTAACCCCTGTGTGTTCTGAATTTAACCAAAAAAAAAAAAAAAAAAAACCCACAAAACCCCCCCACACATTTCAAAAGCGTGACCTCAAGTTTGCCAATATTAGACAAATAATCGTTTGTCTTGTTTAAAAGTGTGCCAAAGCAAGTAGATCTTGGGTGCAAGACATCTTACTGTCAGGCTGCTTAGCCTTGTGTACATTCTTCCACATTATATTTTGGTGCGTCATATTGAATGTTGCCAAAAAAATAAAAAAATAAAAATTATAATAATTATTCACACCAATTGACCTTAATTTATAGAGCAAAGCATCAGTTTTTAATCCCTGTTTTTAATAAAGTGGCTGAAACTTAAGATACAAATCATGATAACGTCAAGTTTGTTTTTTTACTAAAAAGAACGGAAGTGCAGCAGTTTACTAATTAGATAAGTTCAGAGACAAGATTTCAAGGTTTAGGTGAGTGTTGAAGCAGCACAGTGCCACTCTGGAGTCCATCTGCATCAGGGACTAAGAGCCCATCTTCTTCTCCATGCTGAAATACAGAAACGTAAGGCATTAATGTTTCTATTACCATATCTAATGTTGTTGGGGTTTTTTGTTTGCTAAAATCTAAAGCACTGCAGTTAAATGATGAAATACTGATCTGGGTCAAAGGTCACAATGGGAAAATAGCCAAAGTAAACAAAAGTTGTACCCTCAGTCAGAATTTGAACCAGGGCTCTTGAATCAGAGTCCTGATATGTGACATCATGTGCACAGACTTTGCCAAAAACACAGTCCTCATATCTTGCAGAGTTATGATCTTCTATGAACAGGTGATTGAAAATTAGAATGTACTTTAAAAGAAACCAACCCCAGAACAGAAAAGTTTCTTACTTGTATTTGATGAGACGGCTACCCTGGATCAGTTGGGCTGACTCATTGGTCAAATGGCAAGCGAACAGTAGCCAGTTGCGGGGTTGCACTTTGTAGGCAAACCTCATGAACAGCAGCGAATAACAGCACAGAGCTGAGGAGAGAAACCATACATTTAATAGAACCATATTTTCTTATATACCTACTACAGCTCTAACGTTAAGTCTTTATATAAGACTCTTCGGCATCTTAACAGGAAAGCAGATGAAAGAAAATCTTAAAATAAATCAATAGACCAGTGCAGACATCACGGCTTCTCTCAAAGCCTTCTTAGTAGCCTTGAGATAAAAGAACCACTCACAAAATATATCAATACTAACTAGAAAATTATTAGAATGTTGCATGTATACTGGATGTATCTGTGACCATCTTACCAAAGGTCATTCTGCCACTGATAATTTCAGGGCTCTTCTTCATATCTGTGATGGCAGCGATAGGAAGACCCCAGTTTGCTACAGGACCCCAGAAATGCTGCAAAAAGTCACAACAGTCATGTCAATGTAGAGAAGATACAGTTACTAATAAATTACATCAAAAGGATAAAAGTAGAAAAAGGGAAAAGAAAAAATAAGCCTTAATCTATTAAACAAGACTTTTCGAACACCACAAGCAGGAGAAATAATCAAAACTAGCATAAATATTTTTTTCTTCAACCACTTTTTCTAAAGTGGGCTTTAACTCCTTCAAGCGTAAAATTCATTTTAATTTAACAAATGGACAGAAAATGCAAAAAAACCCACAAACAAACAAAAAAAAAAACCCACACCTTCTGCTGCACAAGGTAGCACAGACTCATTGTTTTAACTATATGTGAATCAGTCAAGCTTGTGCACTTAAAGCCAGACATAACCGTAAGATAAGGATCTAAAAACTCAGTGTCATATTTTTTAAGTTAACACTGTATATGACATACAAGATCAATAAATAGTAAGGTACAGTTAAAACTACAGCCTGTCACAGAAAAGGATATACTAACAGAAAAGATGGTAACTTACTGTGCTGTTTGGCGTTTGTTTTATTTTTTTTCAGTTCCACATAAAAAAAGAAAACAAATAAAGATAAGTCACAAAGACACGATGTTTTTCACACATCATTACAACTTCAAGTAGGTAGCAAATGTCAATATAATTTTGCATTTCTTAGTAAGGATATAATGAACGAGGTAGCATTTTAACACCCGCATAATTCGGTGGCAGCTGCAAGTCCTTAACAAAAGTAAGCAGTAAAACTCGTTTGTGCAGACTGCAAACACACAGTAGTTTTGATTTAAAAGTACAGATATTGCACAAGTATACACCAGACGTCATAACGCTTGCCCATCGATGGTTTTAAAGTGTTAAAACAGGCGAAGCTCTTCAGATAACAGTGATAACAACTGTGTATATTTGTGACAAACGCAAACAATGCTGACCAAAGATGCAAAAATTTGGCCTTTACTCCAAATTTCAGACCTGTGGCTAATATGTGGCATGTAAACACACTTACACATTTACCAATATCTTGACAAGTAGCAGGAGCAGATTTCTCCGCCAGCTTTTGATGCAGATTCAGACTTTTAAAGCAGTTCACCACCATCTTAAGAAGCTAACGTTGTTTCACCGTCAGGGTTCGGCCCACTTTCTAGGTTACCTGTTTGTTTTAGTGGCTTCCTTATAAGTTAACAATCAAGCTGATAATGTGGAGAAAATACGGGAGACATGGTCGCTCTTGAAAACAAACCAACTTAAAACGAAGTAGAAATCTATGCATGAAGAGAGATATCAAAAGAAAAACAAACTGTTTAAAATGTTCATTAAAATTTTGTTATAACTTTAGTTAGGGCAGGTGAACGTTAGCTAACTCTGCATGACTAGCTTAGCTGCCGTGCTAACAGAGAAATGTTCCGGCTTCTGACACAGACCTCATCAAGTAGTCCCTGAACTCCTTGCTCTTCAAGTGTTCAATAGCTTTCCGTGCAATCGTCCCTGCCATGGTTTCACGTTAGGCTGGTGTCTGTCTTGGGCGAGAAGAGCGATCTTTATATTTCTTTCTGTCGGCTGAAGGGCGACTGGGAGATCCGCTCAGAGGACGGTCAAATTTCCAACCAATAACATTACGTTTTACGACGCTGACGTAAATACGTGGCTCGACCTCAGACGGCTGGGTGCTGCCCAGCATAACAACCAATCACTGGAGACCGGCACTCCTGTTAAAACCAACGCCCACTATGGCAAATAAATAAATAAATAAAAATTATAAGATCAGGTCAGAACTATTACTCCAGGTAAGGCGAAGTAACTAAAAAAGTGGTGAATGTGCCTTTCTTTAGTCCCGTGTAAAGGTTGGCTGACACTTTAGGAATTGCTGGAAGACGGCATCTGACCTCTAGAACTTTAGACTACCAAAATATAGTTAGCAAAGATGTTGGTGTAAACATGTGTAAGTCAGAGAGGATATCAGAGACAGATATACTTTAGATGCTTCAACTTTTTCAGTAACAAAAAATAAGTATAACCTCCGGGGGGGCGCGCACGCTTTTGGCGACATCAGTTTATGAGGTAACTGAGTTTAGCGTTTACATTTTTATTTAGTACTGTTTCAAGGTGATATGCAGTAGAAGCCAGCTATTTCTAATAAAAAAAGAAAAATAACGACATCTTCTTAGTTAGGAGTTTCATGATAAAACAGCTTCCTCTTCTCTGTGGAGATTTGGGTGAATGTAAAGTAACCAGAAGTAGTATAATGTGAAAGGCAGAATTCACAAACAGAATTCTTCCGAAATGGCTAAGGCTCACCTTTAACTGATTTTGAAACTACATCTGTCAGTATCTCCACGGGACTCTAGAACCAACGCTCTCAGTTCAGACACACACCTCCTCAAGAGGGATTGGTTTATTTTGAATGATGTAGAAGTTCACACTGGAGTCACGTTGTAGAAGATCTAACCTGTATCTGATTTAGATGCATATGAAAGTAACCCTAATCAGAATTTAAAAAAAGAAAAAAAATTGCAATATTCATGCTTGTATTTACCCCATACACCCCAGTCAAATATGTAAAAAAAAAAAATTGGTCACCTCCTTCATTGTGAATGCAGCCAAAGTTTGGGACAAGCCTAAATGTGTATTATATGTCTGCTGTAGACATATGGTTGTGTTATGATCTTGAATTATATAATTTTTCTTTTATTAATTAAGTGCATTTTCTTGACATTAAACCGAATACATATGGAACAAGATGTTGCACTTGTCCACCAAACCCGGTTTTCATCTTTAGTTTAGTTTTAGCAATTTAGTTTTGAGCACAGAAAAATGAGCAGCAGCAGCAGCCGTAATCAGGCAGTGTTTTGAAAACCTTCATAGCACATAGTGCTGGTGTGTTAAAATTGGTCCAGGATGACAAAAAATGCACAGGTGTTGTTTTTAAAATATCCTAACGGAAACACATCCGCTGATTTCCATTTGAATTTAAATAACAGTTTTTATCTTTACTTGAATTTACAATCATAAAAAAAAAATCACAATTCACATTAAAATATTTTTCTCTCATTAAAACCTCAAATCTGCTCTATCTGTCAAGATTTATGAGTCTGAATCCAGACATAAACTAATCTTTTGCAGTATTTTTGTTACACGTACATTAATGTAAAAAGCACACATGCAAATATTGCACATGCTGCACACATACTCTGATACTTTTCCCTTTCCTGTTTTTAATGTAATCATAATTAATTTGTTATTCATTTTCAGGGGCACCTTTGTACAAAGCAGAAATGGCATTGTCAATCACACATCAAACATGAGCTCCAGTTTGGTCAATGAACTCATTATTTGATGTGCACAGTGTATAGAATTAAAACAATTTGACTCATGGTATGTTAGTAATGCCAGCATCCCACTGTGTGTGTGTGTGTGTGGGGGGGGGGGGGGTGGTCCTGCTGTTGTACATGCTGGATCATTGTCGTGGCTTACTGAGAGACTGACTCGTGCTTTTCCTGCTGTGATGAGTCAGGGGACACTATCTGTTGTCTAGATTCATGATTAGGTTGGTGCACTCAAACAACACCAGGGGGCAGTATGTGAACATCATGATCTTAAAGCAAGAAAGTAAAGGTTAGAGAGTTTGCCATGAAAAATCGGATTCTGTGTACTTGTACCATGAAGAAATCCCCCCATAAATAATAAAAAAAAATAGATAAAAAAAAATAAATAATTAACTCGGTAATGAATTCTGATTTCAGAATGTTTGAATTAAATTTGAAGTCACTTTTGTTAAACCATTTACCCACTGTTAAGAGGTGCCACCTGGCTTCAGTTCTTAAAAGGCAAATCTTTTTGTCCTTTAAAGGTCTAATTCAAATAAAAAATGGGTTTTGGTACTTGAGAAGAATGTACATGCCCTCAAGTATTCACCCCAGACAGCTGCAATGCAATAACAGTTTCCTTCACCAGGAGAGATGTAGACCTTAGTGATGGGTCAGTCGCGAATGAAATGGCTTAGAGCCGTGGGGTTTTTTTTTGTTTTTTTGGGGGGTTTTTTTCCCCCCTTTCTCTCACCCTCTCTCTCGCACTTTTTTTCCGCTTCACTCAGCATGGGAGCCTTGTGCTTTACGCTGGGAAGAGGGGGGAGAGGCGGTAGTTACACTCAGTAGCACAGGAACAGAGCAGGAGGGAGAGAGAGAAAGAGAGCCAGGGACAACAACGTCACATTAGAAAGGTATAGTAATCATCCACAACTATTTTCAGTTGCAGATGATAAAGGATTCAGAAAGTTAGTCATGCAGGTTCATATGACAGAGAATATGCATGTTCTTTTTGTTTTCACATTATAATTTATATTTAATTGTGTTGTGGTTTGCAGTGTTTTGTGTGTTTCACTTTAAATTTATAAAAGGAAAAAGCTGAAAATTTAAATAGTTAAAAGTTGAAATGTGAATAGTTGATTTTTGTATTATATGATTTATTTATTACATTTTATGTGGAGTGAATAAATAAAAGTATATTTACGGTGGCCCCTACAGACAAAGCACATACAAACTTCAAATCACGTACAAACCCTGAAGCACGTACAAACCCTGAAGCACGTACAAACTCCAAAACACGTAAAAACACGTACAAACTCCAAAACATGTAAAATCTCCAAAACACGTAAAAACTCCAAAACACGTAAAAACTCAGAAGCACATAAAAACTCAAAACACGTACAAAAGACAACAGAAGTGCTCCAGGATGCTAAGGGCAGTGTTGAGCTTTTGTTACCTAGTGGCTACACAAGCCAGCAAGTACCAACGACCGGATTTGGTGTGTGGTAATAACAGGTAAATGAACTTTTTTTTTTATTATTATTTTTTGACTATATATGAATGCTTGTGTATAAATACACAAACAATACACATATGCTTTCATGCTTTCAATTGTGTAATTTAAGTGATCTAGGTAGCTCTGTTTGGAAGTTCAGTTCATGCTAGAAATGTGTTTTGGAGTTTGTATGTGCTTTTTAGAGTTTATACATGTTTTGTCTCTAGGGGCCACTGTATATATTTATATATAAACATATATAAATAAAACCACTTTTTTTTTACATTAGTAATTCCTTTTGTGCATAATTTTATATTATTGTTAATAATAAATTAATTAAAGCAACAAAACAACCTGAAGAGCCGGTTCGGAGCCGAAAGAGGCGGCTCTTTTTAGTGAGCCGAACCGAAAGAGCCGGTTCTCTAAAAAGATCCGGAAATCTCATCACTAGTAGACCTTGAACTGGGAAGTATGAAGTATGCCTCAGGTTAAGTCAGTGGTTCCCAAAATTTTTGCTAAAAATGTGCGCCCCCCCCCCCCTTCCGACGTGTGCACGCGCGCACGCACAAACACATCCTCCAACCACACACACCCATATTTTGCTCCATTGCGGTTTCTTTCACACCTCAAACATTTAATAAACAATTAAGCAAATGCAAGTAATCTGCAATAAATTATAGGTAGTAATAAAATAAACTACTAACTCTTTTAGGCTATGTCCACACCTACACGGGTATTTTCGAAAACGCAGCTGTTTTGTCCACATGTAAACGGCGTTTCGAATCACCGAAAACTGAGATTTTTTTAAAACTCCTTTTTTTCGTTTATGTGTGGACGAGGAATACAGAGTTCCTCGCAATGTCAAAGGTATGTGCCTTTTTTCACGTCACGCTGTGCACACGTTATTGTTTACATGAGATTAATTGCAGAATGGCAGAGACAAAATACTGTTACTGTTAATCTGACTATCTTCAGGTTTTACACGCTTACATATACACGCAGTTACTGTCCCTCCATTTAGAAAGGCAGAGGCGTCACGATGTGATTATTTTACTGTAGTTGGGTTTTTTTCATGTGTAATAATATTCAACATTGCTATCAATGCATTTTTCAAAAAATGCTGCTCTGTGCAAAATGGGTTTAAAAACATAAACAACTGTGGGACACTATTTGTTGTGATTTGAACCGGGGGACAAATTGTGGTAGGATCAGCCTGATATTATTTGTATCCTGCTGTAACTTTACTGTATAAAGAGCTAACATCTCCAAAATGTCAGGAGTAGTTAGTCATTACAACAAGTGTTTGTGAACTAAAAATCAAGAATGTGGGATACTGTTTGTCCCTGATTTGAACAGCCCAGCGCTGCTCCCGACAAAGGGAAAACCAATTAAGCAGGGGAGACCTACCTCAGCACTTGTGCAGGTGAAACCAAAGGGAAGATATTCTTCACCATATTTTCTAGTCTTTGGCTTAGAATGAAGTTGGTTTGGAAACATATTCAGCAATGCTTCATGTCCTGCTTTGCCCGTGCTAGCAATGTCCAAGCGTTTAGCCCCCCACATTTTCATACCACGCCCCCCCTGCAATGGCTCTGCGCCCCCCCTAGGGGGCGGGCCCCACACTTTGGGAAGGTCTGGGTTAAGTTGAGTTTACCAGACATATTGTGGTTTATAACTGTGTCAGACTCAAGAAATTGGATATGAAATGTCATCACTTCATGATGCATTGTTACTGGACGCTCGTGTAAAGTTTTTTCATAATAAGTATGTGGTTATTCTCATGGTCAGTGGTTGGACAGACAGACTACCCAAAAGCATA